CCCTTTGAAACAGAACTTGCATGCCCCACTTTCCTTCCAGACTTACCATTTCCCCTCCCACTGTGCCTAGCTCTCTGCTGGGGAAATTGTAGGTGCTCAATAAGCAACTTGATGTATTAATCTCATTCAGTCTATTTGATTTTAAACAGCTGTTTTATTATCCGTCCGGAATGGGACAATAAAACCATTGGACAGGGAAAAAAAGTGAAGGCTCCTTTAACTATCTGCCTTAAAAAAAGTTAGGTAGTGTACACCTGAGACTAATATAATATTGTATGTTAACTGTGATTGAAAAATAAAAAACAATTTAAATTTTAAAGAAGTTAGATATAATGCATCTTCCTCATAAAAGGAGAGCAAAAAGTTTTTCCTTATCTAATACAGTGGGTGCTTAAGAAATGTCTGAATGAGTAAATATCTGCCTGGCTCATTACAATGTCATTTGTACACATCTCTGATCATGTGTTTACTTTGCTAAAAATTCAGGGACCTCCACCCTCATTATATAACCCCTGCCTTTCAGTCCATTCTCATCTCCTGCCACTCTTGTACTTGAATTCTTATTACTGCATCTATTTATTAAAATTGTTTGCTTAAATGTCTGCCTTCTTTCCTAGACTCTGAGTAGGATCTGTGTTACTTATCTCTGACTCTAGAGCTAGCCGGGAGCCTAAGCAATAATAGATGATCAAGAAATGTTTGCTCAAGTAAATCATCCCTTTCCTTTGCATTTTGAGTCTTTCCCTTCTAATCTTATTCACAGTGGGGAGAGTAACAGTGGTAAATTGTTAGATTTAGAAGGCTTCTTACAGATCATCTAATCAATTGCCCTCATTTCATAAATGCGGAAACGAAGGCCCATTCAGGATCACACAATTTGTTGGTCCTTATTCTAAAAGAATCAGACAATTGTAGGAAAGAAATTCCTCCAACTGAGGCTGAGCTATTTTGTTGTTCATTGTGTTCAGAAGCCTCAAGTTCCCAGAAACAAAAATGAATTCCCTTATCAGTCTTTGGAATTTCATAATCTTGTGTTCCACACCCTATGCGTCAGGGTTGATAAAACTGATTGTAGGAAAAACTGGGCTAAACTGGAAATTATTATTCTCAGTGCTGTATATTGCTTCTTCCCCTGGTGCACACTTACACTGCTTTAGAAGGACTCATGTTGTGAGTCTGACTTGAAAACTAACTGGTCTGGAAAAGGGGGAAAGACAAAAATTAATCAAAATTTGAATTAAAGTTCTAAAGCTCCCTTTCTCTCAATGTAAATTCAGGTCCACATTTCCACAGTCCCTTCTCCTATATTAGCTCCTCTATTCCTGAATCAAATGTGTCTTCGTTTGTGCTAAGGGATGGTTATCTAACAGCTATATCATCTAGTAAAGGGAAATGTATTTTTCATTAAAGGGAAAGATACTGTAATCTGGTTCAGCAGAATAAAATTAAGAGGTTCTATCTTAATCACAGGAAAGTGATGTTCAGCTTGGTTGCCCATTTTTCTGTAATTTAGTACCATTGAGTTTTAGAGAATCCAGTAGATAGTGACAATTTATCAAATATGAAAGAGCTTGAAGAACACCTGCCTTAAACGTAGAAAAATAGAAAAGAGAGGTAAAGAAAAATTTCCTCAAAAAGATACTTTGAAACTAACACCTAAATTTAACTTTTTGGAGAAACAATTTGTTAGAATTATAACAAGTAAAGAGAAGAGCAGCCCTTTTCCAAGAGCGCCCGGATAGCTCAGTCGGTAGAGCATCAGACTTTTAATCTGAGGGTCCAGGGTTCAAGTCCCTGTTCGGGCGTGTCGTTTTAATATCAATGCTGAAGTGTGTTTATATTTTAAGTGGAATTCGCTTTGTTTTTCATTGATTTCAGACTATGATAGATATTCTCAGGGGAAAAATGACCATGCGCAATTATTTCATTTCTTGGTGAGTGCGGAGGTTTTGCGCAGTAGTTTCGCAGCGAAAAGGAATTTGTTTTTTCAGATTACTAATAATCGAGAAAGAAAAACCAACCTAACAAAGACAGAAGTTAACGCAAAATGCGCCCGTTCAAAACAAGAAAGCGGAAAAAAAAAAAAGCCAAAAAACATAGCGCCCGAACAGGGACTTGAACCCTGGACCCTCAGATTAAAAGTCTGATGCTCTACCGACTGAGCTATCCGGGCCCTCACGTGGAGCTGAGGCTTTTGCAAACCCTTACAAAAAGTCAGGACTCTTGTGTAATCAGGTCCTTCCGCCTGCACTTGGTGACGCTTTTAAACACGCGAAGGCTGGGAATTCATGCGCCAAAGAAAAACTTAAGACCTAAATAAATCCTGCGCCTTTCTCCAGCATTACCAGCTCATTCAGAACGGCGAGATATTTATGTGCACAATAACCATCATTAGGTAAGGCAGGCTTCTTCGATTTGTACTCTCTCTAATTGGTCCAGGATTGAGAGAACGGCGAGGTAGACTACCGGTTTGAAGCGTCGCAGTGATGTCTGGTCTATTATACTATTGATTATACTATTGATAGTAGGGTGGATATCAGTTCTCAAACCTTCCCGATAACAGGAAAAAAAAATCAATGAGCCGAAGAGAGTACACATACGCTGTTCTGAAGCTGTTGGGTCGAGCTGTGTAAGATCAAGCGGGAGATAGGACACTGATAGTGAGATGGTATTGTAAGTAATTTTACGCGAAGAAAACCTTGGGGTCAGAAGCCTTCCTAAGCCCGAGAGACTGGAAAGCCGAACGTGCCCGACGGGGAGATGTTATTGATCTTGGCATCGGAAGGCTGGTCTCGTCCACAGCCATCATCACCTGAGCACCGCCCTCCGCAAAAGGGCTGGCGTTGAGAATTACCCACCGGGGGGCTCAGAGTGGGTCAAGCAAGGGTTTTTGTTAGCGGTTCCTTAATTCCATCTGCGATACAAATGAACTATAGCCACCATCCTGTATATAAGGCTTAACTTAATTGACTGCAATGGAGGGAGATGTAGAGAATTTAGAAAGCTGGCGATATCGGGTTAATTCTGGGCAAAGGGAATAACGTTACTCCTAGATTTATTCCCCTCGTGTACATTAAAAACAATAACAAGGACTACCTTATTAAGTGTTCTCCGTAAGAATCACATCACCAGAGCTAATCGTCTACCCAGAGCTAGTGGTAGAATGGGTTCTAAAATGGCTGTGTGTATGGAATGCTGAGGCATCAAATTAATAATATTAGACTGCCTCCTCCCCCCCCCCCGCCCCCGCTCAAAACCCTTTGATTCTTCCCTAGTATTTATTGAATAACAAGTGGAACTTTTCATAGCAGCATTCAAAATCCTCTCCAATCTGGCCCCAGCTTACATTCCACACCAGTGTCATTTAATACAAATTATAACGCAAACTACAGGTGTAATTTAACATTTTCTAGTAGCCACATTAAAAAAAAAAGAAACAGGTGAAGTTAAATATATTTTATTCAACCCAACATATCCAAAGTATCATTTTGGTGTGTAATCAACATAAAACTTCATCAATGAGATATTTCGCATTATTTTTTTTTCCTACAAAGACTTTCAATCTGATGTGTATTTCAATCGTGATGTGCACGTCTCCATTTGGACTAGCACATTTCAGGCCACGTGTACCGGTAGCTGGTGGTTATTATATTGGACAGTGTGATTCATCACCATGTCAATCGTCTACACTACATCCAACACGAATCAAAGCCGACCCTTCTCAGATTTAAGACCGTGTTTTCCGATTCCTCATCCTGGGAACGGAGGGAGAGGCATTTTTCTGATAAGCGGAAGGATGCCTCCCAGGTTTCTGACCTCCTAGGACACGTCTGCAAATAGCACCAGACCTCGCGGTTTCCCGAAATGTTCGCTCCGGAGCCCTCACGCTCCCCGCGGTCCAGGCCTCGCCACTCTGTCCCCCGGAAGAGGGTCTACTCTATGGTGGGGAGAACTCGTCCTCTCTAGCTCTCCAGCCCTCCAGTGGACCATCTATGGTCTCCCCGAGGCCTCGCCGGAAGCTCCTGCGCGAGGTGGGTGGGAAACCGGAAATTGCGCTCTCATTGGTCGCCACCCGGGTTTCAAATTGCGGCCGAGGCCTGAGCACCTTTGACTGATGTCCTCTGGGCTTAGCGCGGGAGCGCCTCGCGGGTGGCCCTCAGGTGTGGCTCCGGGGTTCCGGCGGCGCCGGGC